TGTGATCACATGGGTATAATTAAAAATTTTGTGCCGGGCGCGGTGGCTCAAGCCTGTAATCCAGCACTCCTGGGAGGTCGAGGCAGGTGCATCCCGAGGTCAGGAGACGGACCCATCCTGGTTAACATGGTGAAACCCCCGTCTCTACTAAAAATAGAAAAATTAGCTGGGCATGGTGGTGGGGCGCCTGTAGTCCCAGCTACTCAGGAGAGCTGAGGCAGGAGAATCTTGAACCTGGGACTCGGAGGTTGCAGTGAGCCGAGATGGCGCCACTGCACTCCAGCCTAGCCAGAGCTGAGGACCCATCTCACAAACAAAAACAAAAAGCCTCCCAAAGTGCTGTGATTACAGGCGTGAGCCATCGTGCCCGGAGGAAATTAAACTCAGTATTTCCAAAATGTTACTATTTCAATGTGTAATCAATGTGAAAAATATTCATGAGATATTTTACATTCTTTCTTATTGCTTGGTCTTTGAAATTTGGTGTGCCTTTTATGCTTAACATCTCAATTTGTACTAGACACATTTCAGGTACTCAGTAGCCATATGCAGCTGGTACCTACTGTATTGGACAGGCTCATTGTCAGTACACTTCTGATTTCCTTCAGGAAACTGGGGAAGATTAGGGAAGGAGTTTTTTTGTTTGTTTTTTGTTTTGAGACAAGGTCGTGCTCTATTACCCAGGCTGGGAGGGCTGGAGTGCAATTGTACCACCGCAGCTCACTCACTCACTGCGTCTCAACCTCCCAGGTTCTAGCTATCCTCTTGTCTCAATCTCCCAGGTAGCTAGGACTACAGGCACATCATGCCATCATGCCTGGCTAATTTTTTTTTTTTGAGACAGAGTTTCGCTCCTGCTGCCCAGGCTGGAGGGCAATGGCACAATCTCGGCTCACTGCAACCTCTGCCTCCCGGGTTCAAGAGATTCTCCTGCCTCAGCCTCCTGAGTAGCTGGGATTACAGGCATGTGCTGCCTGGCTAATTTTTAAATTTTTTGTAGAGATGGGGTTTCTCCTCGTTGCTCAGGCTCGTCTCAAACCACTGCGCCTGGCCTAGTGAAGGAGTATAATGAGTTGGACGTTAGTGGATAGGTAGACAGTTGGTAGAAAGCAAGAGGGCAGTCATTCCCTATGAAGGAGTGGTATGAAGTTAGAATGGTACGGGCAAAAGGTCTAAATTATGACTGAATGGTTGGGGAACAGGGAGGAAACTCTCCTTACTGGGGTACACAGTAGTAAGAGAGGGTGCTTAGATAAAGGGAGGCGCTTGAATTCTAGGAAAGGGATTTGAGATTTTGTATCTGATGGTAAGCGTGGGTAGATTCTTGAGGGTCTGAAACATTTGGACACTAATGAGTTGAGAGTTTTGGAGATAAGTGAGTTGTGTGGTTTATAAGGATAGATATAAGTAGATGCAAGTTTTATATTTCAAGATGATGATGGACTATAGTGGTAGCATTAGAAATTTGGCAAAAAGGACTTAATTTTTCTTGGTTTTAGTTTTTTGCTGGTAAATACATTTTAGAATTCTTTGCCATCCAGAACAGGCTGCTTTTTGTCTCCAGTGTGGGGATTTTTCAAAGACAGTCTTTTTTTTTTTTTTTTTGCGACAGAGTCTCGTTCTGTCACTGGGTTGGAGTGCAGTGGGGAGATCTTGGCTCACTGCAGCCTCCGCTTCCCGGTTTCAAGTGATTCTCCTGCCTCAGCCTCCCTAGTAGCTGGGACTATAGGCTCGCACCATCATGCTCAGCTAATTTTTGGATTTTTGGTAGAGATGGGGTTTCACCATTTTGGCCAGGATTGTCTCTATCTCTTGACCTCGTGATTTGCCCGCCTCGGCCTCCCAAAGTGCTGGGATTACAGGCATGAGCCACCAAGCCAGGCAACAGCCTTTCTTTAGGAATGAGGCATGAAAATATCATTTCAGGCAATGTAATTTAAGAATACAACTGACTAAAACAAGCTAACGTTTCCTTAGAGGGAGAAAAAAACGTTAAGAAGACTCAATTTCTGACCTGTAGGTATGCCTTTACTTAGGGTAAAACTTTGCCTTGACTACTGAGATATCAAGTACAGTGCCAAGTATTGTCAGGAGACTTGTTTTTAGATTTTAGTAGAAAACACATGGTTTAAAGCTATACCGAAGAGAGGGTTGATAGAAGAGATTTGAGAGGGTTGATAAAAGAGATTTGAGTACTATTTATGTGTAGTGCCTTCAAAATACAGTTTAGACTTTTGATGTATTACACAATGGAGAGCCATTTTGGGTTCCTTAGAGACATTTTAAAACTTGAAGAGTATTAAATTATGTTAAAATTAAATTAAAATATATAATTAAATTTATTATATGTATTTTCTGTGATTGTTATGCTTGATGTATGTTTGAGACTTAACGTAGTCATTATTTGACACAAACTTTGAGATCCTAATACTCGAAGAATTTCCACTGGCCATGCTTCAAAGAGTCGTGGTATTAATCAAGCAAAAAACAACAAAAAATTAAAATTAAACTTTATTGTTTTTGCTTAGTGATAGTTCTTTGATAGTTCCAAACAATGTTGCAATATATCATTTAGATGTTCTATAAGTTTTAAGAAAATGTCACTTAAACACTAACTTGGAA